AGAAGTTTTGAGTTTGTTACACGTGCGCCGAAGAGAAGATATACTGGAAGACTGCAGGACAGGGTGTGGTTCGCTTGTAGTCCCGTTTGTTTCACCGACAGAGTGGTTTATCTTCTGCCGGGGGTGCAGGGCCGTCCACGCGGGTTGCCTGGTCAGTGAAACACTGGCCGGGGCAAACCAGAAAAAACCGGTCGGCCAAAACCCGAGAGGCGTCTGACGGTGGTGTAGAATTGGTCTCTTTCCCCGGCACACCCCACTCCGCGCTCCGTGTTCCCTCATCATGTAACGAAGCTGGTTGCAGGAGGTTCCGTCTTCTGATGTTCGCATGTGTTGTCTACATGGATGCTGGATCTGGTGCATAGATGGTTTAAGGTCCCAGCTTGCTCATTTGTCACCTTAGCCACTAAGAGAGCGCAGGGCGCGTCGCTTCCCAGGGACGCCGTAGTATGAACGCGATGTACCATTGTAAGACGATCCATGAAGAAACTTGGTAATCAGGTACTACGTGACGTCCCCAGCGTCGTTCGGCTTTTGTTCAAGGGTGCATTTCTAACCATTGCATAACCGGGTGCGACCTGCAGGGTAACAGGGTAGAAAGGCTTTTATCCGGTGACCGTCAGAACGGTTCATACGTCTTTCGGATGGCTCAGTGCTATTGCAGGATCCTAACGTGTTCGTGAGGTAGCATTCCTCAGAGTTTGTCCTACCCGGAAGAGTAGGCAAGTAGCAATGACCTTATTTGGTGGCGGGCCACATTCGCACACGTCGCGATGCTGTCAGCGGCACTTATGGCTTTTGAAACGGATATCTGTTGCCAGCGGGAAACTCCACCACGTCTTCTAGCATCGCCGATGATCGTCCGCGACCGGTTATTCAGTGAGGTAGCCCCCACCTATTCGCTGTTAACCACAAAGGTGGCCGTTCTTCTATCCGCGATCTGGGGACGCGTTCGGTGGCACTCAGCTGTACTATCCGTAGACAGTCCATTGACTACGGGCCATCTTGAAATTTAACTTCGAGGTTTGTTCTCCGCTTCTCCGTTCACTGTGTAGGTTTAGTCATCCAAACTGAGATGAACCACCGGTTAAACAGTGTTTATTGTGACATACGTTGTCTGAACGATTCTTGCTTGGCGCGGTTTGCTCAAGGTGAAATGACGAACGCTCCACCCATTCAGATGTCAGATAACCGATCGGTATTTATTGATTAAATTTCGATTCTCTGATCGCCCTGGAGCGGTGATTCGTTTATGACTAAAGTTGTTTGCTACAGTTAAGACCAAATGATCAGACACGAACGCCGAATACAACTCTCCGCTCATCAAGCAAACATTTGAGAGATAACGTCATCGTGGAGTGATAGTGATGGATCATTTGAAATTGATAGTTACATCGCAACAGAGATACTATCCCTAACTACTTAATCTCGCATTCGGCAGTTATTATTGTTTGTCAGTCTCACCCTCATCTCCATCGCTAGTCCCAAGTTTAGTGACTGTCATAGATTTGCCTCAGGCGAAATCTAACCGTCCCAGCAGGAAAAACGTGTCTACTCACTTGTTAGTCTCCTTCAGTAAAATAATGAGTCTATGAATCGCGATGTATCGTATGTGCTTGTGTAAATTCTGTGAATATGCGTGTGCTTACATTTCAGTGGCAGGAAACGAACTGTGAAGTGTAACAAAAAGAATTGGGCGTAAATACTGCTTGTCATGCTCCTACTGTTCGGACATGAATCGGATACGGACTGGCGGGNGTTCAGTGTGTGAGTAGAAGTTGTAAAAAATTATACTAGAATGTACAGAAACCGGAGAGATTGGAGACAGGTTGACGCGGTGTTGTATCATTGGTGTAAATCAGAACATATACGCACGAAAGCAACGGTAATTTAAAAAGGGATCTGAATCTGGCAATCCCGAACTGTTGTCGAAGGACTTGTGAGTTTTGTGTGATCCTCCCCTCAGATTTTCACACACCCTTAGCAACGTATATGGCAATCGTCCGTTTTTTCGGTTGCTTGCTGTATTCCTTTTGGAGTTTGTCTATCCCCCACTTGTGAAATATATATTTTACTTTTGATGGAAGCTAATGTATGCCCACTGACGGCGTGCTAGACATATTTACCATCCTTGTTGGTATGCGCTAGCAGTGTGTACGTTTTGCTTCCCTACCCACACTGCAATCGTGGAGCTTCGCGCTGGGAATTGTAACCTTCACCCCTGATCCACCCACGAGTGACCGCCGACACTTTGAGCGAATAGTTACACTAATTAAAATAGTAATGTTCGGATGAGCGACGGCTATTTGCCCTTGCATCTGGCTCCGTTTGTGATCTTCATGTAACACACCTAATCACAGTCTCGACAAGAACACATGGTACGCACTAGTGAGTCCTTAAGTGGACCAAACAGTTAAATGCTATTCGTCGACCGCCACATAATCACTTATTACAAATCGCTGACGGTAAATTAAATAGTTTGATATTCACACAGGTAACTGCATTAAATGGCCAGCAGGCTAATGCTTATTAAGAATCGTAATCCGAGAATGGAACAACCAATTGAGAGATACTTCAAAAGCACCTCGGGATAATGCATTGCGCCCCCTAATAACATGCTATACTTCGTTGGTATAACACACTTATCCTCGCCGCAGTTTCCTGAATTTATTCGGTGATAGCAGAGGCGGGCGGGGAAGGGAGACAAAAGATTTGGTTTGACATATGTCTATTCTGACAACGCATGGAATTCATAAAACTGTTTTGCGATCTATTTTATTCAGAAACCGAAGTTACTTAAAAAGCACTTATCAACGGTGCGTACCCAACCAAAAGTAGAGAATTAAAGTCCTCATTCAATTCATGGTGTTTGGCTGATCTAATGATTGTTTTGAATCGTGAACAGTTCAGCTTCCTCGGTGGGATTGGAATCCACACATGGACACCGCCTACACGGCTGGAAGATTAATGGTTTGACCCCAAACCATCGTGGTAAGATGCTGTGTAATACCAAATGCGTAATGAGTTGGACTGATGCAGAAGTTGCTCTTGAACCGGGTATCAAAAAGATAGTCTACTGACTTCCAAAAATCTCTGCAAATATGCGTAGATTATTCGGGATCATGGTCCAAGGTTACAGAAGAAGGGTAGCTAAATTGTGTGCCATTTATCAATACATATTACGAGGTTCGTCTATGGCCAGAATAACGTTCATCTTCAATCAGGGAAAACAGTGCTTTCGTAAATTTTGACGAATTTAGGCTTAGGTCATGGCTATCCGGCCATTTGCAGTTCTCCGAGGTGCCATGCTTTAGGTTGAGATAGTTTGTTCATTAGAATACGTTGAGTAAAAATCGCACCATATCCGTGATTGAGAAGCAAAATATCCGTGTTCATAGACATAAAAGAAGCTGTGGATGTTAGTGTAGAGTTATGGGCACAGCGACTTTTCATGGAATCTTTAAAACATCACATAGTCACCAATCTCTCTCGCCCTCTCTGAATCATTCGGATTTCTCATCCTCTTTAAATCCAGGTGTGGGATTTGTCCTCGGCCATTTGTCTGTACATTCTCTATCGATCCGTGCCGTGCCTGAATGCTCAACAATTTTGGCTCACACCAGTCTCCAGTTTGCACTTGGATCCTGTCAGACATCGACTGCTGATAGCGCATCATGACGGTCTCATTCTCAGCTGGCCACTTCCTCCCCGATCTGAGGAACTGCGAGTGCCCGGAGACACTGTCCCAGACCCATATATTCGACGGGATGATTTTGCCAATATGCGATCACTTGATCCGATCGGTGTGCATCTGACTGATCGGTTTGCACCGACTGAAAATCCTGCTGGTACCGTACTCCGCTGTATCGTGGGTGACGCGTGGCATATTGTTTCCGGGTCTGACAACAAGACTATAAAGGTGCGAAACGTTTTCTTTAAAGTTGCCTCAAATTGCTAAAAATAGGATATATAAATCTGCAATCGGATAGCTGGTACAGGCTTACGTTCCATTTGCTTGGTTACGGTATTTTTTTAATCTACCATTCTATCCGTTCCTGGGTGTTCTCACGTGTTGATTAACACGATTTCCGTCAGATCGGTATGAGGTGCTATCTGACCGATGCGGAATGAAACCGGTGGCAATTGACACCTGGTTATCCACTCCTATGGTATGGTTATTACCTTTCTTTTCTTCCCCTTGCTNTCTTATCCCGACTTCACTCTGCATTGCGTTTCTCTCAATGTGGGTGATTGAATCAGATTGCTCCAATCAGCACGTTATCACACGCATAATGTACTCAATGTATCTATCTGTTTGGTGCTTAGGGACAACGCCCATGACTTTGCTAAATTACATTTCACTGAAGGAAGATATGGTCATCAGTATTATTACTATTATTATTATGGTTATTATTAAATTGCTCACATTGTTCCGCTCCAGGAGAGAGGGAGAGAGAGAGAGTAGCGAGTGGTGTAGTCCAATTTGCGTCTCGCTGATATTTCTGAAGATCTCCATCGCAAATTGTCCGTCATCTTGCGTGGGTGCGCGGAGGGCATCCAGTTTGGTTTGGTCGTGCGATATTTGTCTTTGTATTGTATTCTATTGTATTACGTATAACTTTTGCATGCACATTTCATTTAAGAAAAAACTATGCATGCCAACCGTCACGGTGAACATATTCAACGAGGAGAAAATGTTCAAAGACATGAGGACATTTCATAATCTAAGGTTGAGACAAATTTCACTTGTTACCCTTTCTTTGTTTTTGAGTAGATGTGCAAGATAGGTGAATTCCGGTGTGTTTATTCGATAGTGTGTGAAGGGATGGGAACGACAACGTGTCACTTCTGCGTGCAATGGGTGGTCTGTGAGAATCCTCTCCAAATTTTACCCACGAAGTTGTGTTACTCTGAAAGCTTCACAGCTAACTCATACACAGGAATAGAACAAACGCGACTAGATAGCGCCGTAAGACTTTGAAATGTTGTTTAGGTAAAACAGGGACAATAACTGGGAAACCAATGGAAACTACCGTAGCGATCATGCAGTACTTACATTCAAATACGTCTGTTACGCATCGATTCAAGGAAGTTCCTCTGGTAACGCGCAGATCTATAGACTACGCACTGTTAAATAACTTGGCGCTCTCTGCTCAGTGGGTTTCTTATGACGCAAAAGCTAATCCGTTGGTCGCAAGGAAGAAATTTACTGAGAATCTTGCAAATATAATAACATCCGTGACTAAAACTAGAGTAATCACCAAATCCGGCATCCGAACTTCACCTATTCGAAGCCGCACAAAGAAATGGTTATCGGCGAGGGATTTAGCCTGGCGAGATTATAATCATCTTCCAAATGCTGTCACATGGAATAATTACCGTATGCTGAGGAACCACTGTACCAAGCTGATTCGTGAGGATAAAGTGAAATACCAAGAGGTGCTAGC